GCAAGATCGGGTGAAGGTGAGGGAAGACTTATACAGGGAAGCACCAGGATCAGTTAGGAGGCAGAGGGAGAGAGAGAAAACATGGGGAAGAGCCTTTATTGTGGTTCTGTGGGAAGGAATGGATGTGATAGTCTAAACAGGTTTAGGATTGGTTAGTTTGAATGATTTCAGTGGGCTCTCGGGTGTAGGGCAGTGCCTCGTTGTCTGGTATTTGGCTCTGGGTTGATGAGGTTAGGGAAATAGTGGCCCTGGAGGCAGTTGGGGGTATGGACTTCTGATTGGTTTGATTGCATATGAAGGGAACACTCACAGGTGCTACCTCTAGGAATGAGCTGATCCTGAGAGGGACAGTGGAGGCCTCCTCAGCAGGTCTCAGATGTCAAAGCATCATAAATACAGAAAATAAAAAGATAGGCACAATACAATCTCTTGCATGCTTAGATTAACATGATCTTCTAATTGTTCTACCTGTGTCCATATTTGCTTTCCCACAATCTAGCTTTGATGCAGCAGCCAGAGAAGTCCTAAAAGTATAAATTAGGTCATGTTATTGCTCTGCTTAAAATTCTTCAGATCTTCTTTTACATATCCAATAAAGCCCAATTTCCTTACCTTTAAATTTTTTCACTCTCAATACTCACAACTCTCCTGGTATATTCCATAACTGGAAGTATTGGAATAATCTATATCCTATATCCTCATTTCACAGATGAATAATCTGAAGATCACTCAAGGGATGAGGCTGCCGACCTACCCAGTTTAATATGCTGCCTCTTGTGGCCAGAATGAGAGTACCCTTTCCTCTTCCCCTGGTTTGCAGTAGCTGTTACCATCCTTTTGAATGTTTTCCAGTCTAATGGCTATAAAAAGATCTAATTGCTTTAATTTGCATGTCCTTGACTACTGTTCAGTTTGAGGGTTTTTGGTTTTTTTTGGTTTTGGTTTTATTTTTAAAAGATTTTATCTATTTGTTAGAGAGCACAAGCAGGGCGAGTAGCAGGGAGAGGGAGAAGCACATTCCCCGCTGAGCAGGGAGCCTGATGCGGGGCTCCATCCCAGAACCCCGGGATCATGACCTGAGCCGAAGGCGGACGCTTAACCGACTGAGCCACCCAGGCGTCCCTTGAGCGTCTTTTAATATGTTGGCCATGTATAATTGCTCTTCTTTTAATCACCCATGCATATCCTTTGATCATTTTTCTCTTTGGTTGTCCGTTTACCCATTCTCATGTCTTTATTTTGTTTGGTCAACTTATGGAAACTCTTGGAATATAATAGATGTTAATTTTTTTTAAATCTATAATCTGAAATTTTTTTTCAAAATCTATCAAATATATTTCACTTATGTATCTCATTGACTTTTCAACCTTTTTTCTAAGGTCTGCTTTTTTTTTTTCCCCTGCTTTGGCTTTCTTTAGGATTTTTACTTTTTTTGCATCTTGCGTTTGTCTTTAATCCATCTGGAATTTGTTTTTAGCATATACTTTGAGCTAAGGACCCAGTTTTATTTTCTTCCAGTTTTTTAGCTAGTTTTGTCATCACCAATTATTAAATCATTTCTCCTATTGAAGGTGATATTTGGTATTTCAATTCATAATAAGTTTAAGATTTATTTTTATTGGATCTCTTTTTGGATTTCCTATTTATTCCACTCATTTTTTACTCATTTTTCTGTGCCAAATTGATTTGATGCAATAGCTTTATAGAATGTTCTAAAATGATAATGTAAGTCCCATCTGTATTTTTTCTTAGCAGTTTTATTCTTTATTCACCCATATTATTCATCCTTATTATATTCAAATTTAAAAAACTTTCTGGTTGGGGGTTTGGCCAAAATGGGTAAAGGGGAGTGAGAGATATAGGCTTCCAGTTATGGAATGAATAAGTCATGGGAATGAAAGGCACAGCAGAGGGAATATAGTCAACGATATGGTAAAAGCATTGTATGGGGACAGATGGGAGCTATACTTGTGGTAAACATAGCATAATGTATAAACTTGACAAATCACTATGCTGTATACCTACACTAATGTAACGTTGTATGTCAACTATACTAAAACAAACAAAACAAAAACCTCTTAGGATTTTCATGGTTGTCTTGATGGGACAGGGTTTTTGAGTGACAGACTCCAGTAGGTAACTTTAAAGATTTTAGGCTCTTTGAAGGAGAAATGGAGAAACTGACAGAAATCATAAATAGCAAGAGAGAACACAGCATGATCTTAGATATGTGGCTTCCCATGTCCCCCAGTTTCCTACAAGAATATAAGCTGTAAGTAATAGTGCCCACAGGATGTAAAAATTTGGCCATTCTTGAGAAGCCCCCTTTGCTATTCTCAGGAGGATTTCATACCCTCTTGAACTCTTCCTCTTTGTAGTGGAGATTCTGGCTTCCTCCCTGCTCACTAGGTGTAAGTAACTGATGTAAAAGGTCCATCAATACGTTATCTAGTGATTTCTGTGAAGTTAGGTAAAGTAAAACTCCCTTTCCCAGCAAGTTCAGACTATTAGCAAGTTCTGACTGAAATCATTCCTTTGGATTCGCACTGTATGATACAAAACATTGTCTTCCTGTCTAAGAATCCTAGAAGTCTTTTCATTTATTTAGCTCCTGTTTTGTCTTCTGTAACATTTTGTTTTTCTTCAAATTTTATTCCTTATTTTCATCCCTAATTATCTCATGGGTTTTGTTTCTGTTGTGAACAGAAAATTTCCACCTACCTCTATATCCAGGTACTTCTAATATAGAGAAAAAAGGGTGTTTTCTGTTTGTTCATCTTATTCAGTCACATCACCAAATTCTTTGATTTTTTTTTTCTTTACCTTCATTTCCTAGGTAAATCATACCCCATTAACAAATAAGGATAGTTTTAATTTTAATTTTTCAATAATTATACTACCTAATTCGTTTTTTTGTACTGTATTATCTAGAATCTTCATTGTAATGTTTTATAATGTGATAATAGGCATGTGCTTACATTGTTAATTTTTAAAATATATAATTACCACTTTTTCTTTCAGAGTCTAAAGTTACTTAGTATTGTATCCTCTTGAATAAGACAAAGAGTTTAACATGCTTTCTCCAGTTGAGTGTGTCCCATCCCATCTTTGTTCACACATTCTTTTTAAGTCAGTAGCTGTTCAAATTTACCAACATATTTTTTGAATTTCTCCTTCCTTAGGACTCACTTTTATTTTGGCTAAGTTCATTCATTAAGAGTCTTCACTGGTAAACTTTCAGCCTTCTGAAAATGCCCTTATTTTGCCCTCACTTGAACTGGATTGTCCATTAGAGTCTCTCAACTCTCAATATACTATTCATTGGCCCCTGTTTATTATTGAGGAAACATCTGTCAGTCTTGTTGCTTTATGGGTAATCTGTTTTTTTTGGTAGTTAAGAGTTTATCTGTGATGTTTTCCAATTTCAATACAATGTTTCTACATATGGATTTGTTTTGATTGTTTAGCTTGGCCCTGGAAGTACATTTTTAATTTGACTTATTTTTTTTACTTTTGGAAAATTAGTCATTATTTCTGTATTGCTTCCTTCTCTTAACTTTTGTTACACATTTTTGGGATTTATAATTTCTATCTTGGTCTATTTGTGCTGCATTCTAGAGGACTTTCTCAAATACATCTTCCAATCAGTTAAACCTTTTTATTGAATATTATTGAAATTTCTCCTGTTTGAGTATATTTCAGAAACTGTATTTAAAAATTTTTAAATTTCTCACTGGATCTTCATAGCTTGCCTTGTTTCATTTCTGCCTATTTTTGATTCGTACCTTCTTGTTCCTTTTTTTATGGATATGTCCATAAAAGTATCTTTTTCAAGTTCAGTTAGTTCATCTGTCCATAGTAAGTTAACCTTTGTTTTGAATTTCCATTTATAGATTCCACATGTCTGTCTTAAGTAGGAGGTTCTTACTATATTGCTCACTGTGGTCACTCATCTCTCCCTCTCTGGCAATTTTGCATTTTCTTCCACTGGCCCATTTGCTCAGGATTTCCATTACAATTCAGGTTTGAGATTGGCAGTTTGTGCTTTTGCTCTACAGAGATTTTCAAATTATTGTGGATCCACTTAGTGAGTTGGAAGACCTTGGCTTCCTCACTGTCAAGAGGTTCTATCTGTGCTTCTCTGCCTTCCTGAATATTATTTCTTGTAAGCAGTAGCTTAAGTCAGCATTCAGCAGTACCTTCTTCAGCGTCCTTTACTGCAGCATAAGCCCCATTCTAGCCTCTGCTTCCAGGCAGTGAGCCCGATCCCTGTGCTTCATCTCCATGTGGTAATATTGTTTCCCACTAACCCACAGTTGAACTCTTGACTGCTACTTCCTCTTCTCAGACTTTGAAAGTCTGTGGCTCAGTCTCCCTACCTTTCACTTCTTTGTTTGCTTCATTTTTGATCCTCAAGGTGCTTGGTTTTTGTTTGTTTTTTGGTGAGGCTATAGCTTTTAAATTTTTTTTTTTAAGATTTTATTTATTTGACAGAACACAAGCAGGGGGAGTGGCAGGCAGAGGGAGAGGGAGAAGCGTGCTTCCTGGAGCCCGATGTGGGGCTCAATCCCAGGACCCTGGGATCATGACCTGAGTTGAAGGCAGATGCTTAACTGACTGAGCCACCTAGGTGTCCCAAAAAAACCAAACTCTTAAAAACAAAACAAAAAAACCTCCTCCCTTCTCCTAGTTCTTGAACATAAAATTCCAGGAAAAGACTTGATTGGCCTAATTTTATGTCACATGCTTGTCTTTGCACAGACCACCCTAGCCTAGGGCCTTAGGTCCTATGTGAATGCATTTAGGTAGATTCTTGGGTACTGTGATTGGTATTCCCACTAAAAGATCCATCATTAGAGGGTAATCCTCTAACCAGGAGAAGAGAGGAAGACAGGTCACCAAACAAAAACAGATGCTCTCTCTCTATTTTTATATATATAAATAAATATATATGTATGTATGTAATGTGTAATCTGTATTTTAACTTTTTATCTTTACAGAAAGAAAGAGTTTACTTTCGGGTTTTCTTACCTAAGGGGAGCAAAGAGAAGAGCAAACCAATGTTCTTTTGCCACCGATGGAGCATTGGAAAGGTCATAGACTTTGCAGCTTCTTTAACCAGTCTTAAAAATGATAATAACAAATTAACAGCTAAGGTAACAACCGGTTATAATTTTTCTCTAAAAGCTTTAGGATACTGTATACCCGCATGTTTGTTTATTACAGTATGATTTATTTCCCTTAACAGAAATTAAGGTTATGTCACATTACTTCAGGAGAAGCCTTACCCTTGGATCATACTTTGGAAACCTGGATTGCTAAGGAGGATTGTCCTTTATATAATGGTGGAAATATTATCTTGGAATATCTTAATGATGAAGAACAATTTCTAAAAAATGTTGATTCTTATCTGGAATAGTCTTGTAAGGATTCAAGCCAGAAATGATGAGGAAAATTTTATGTAAAGTCAATTTCTTTTACTACAAATACTATATATATTTATTTTTTAAAAGTTGCTTTTTAACTTATTTCCATTGTCATAATTCATCAGTTTTCTGTTAAATTTGAATTTTTGTGTGTTAAACTATGAATGGACATTCAATTATTAGCAAATTCTTACCTTTAGCTTTTATTAGGTTGTGCTTAGTAACAACAGAAAAGGTGTATTTCATTTAGTTAATGTCAGCTGTTGTGACTCTGCTGCATATCATCTTTACTCTAGGATCTAAGCTGAAGGAATGGCTCCTGTTTGGGACATTGCCACTTTTAGGCAGAGGAAGAAAGATGGCTTTTAGAAGATACGTGTATTACTTTTACTTTAAGCAAGTATCCTGGCCAAGCCTTGCATCATGAAGCCAGGATATATAGCCTTAAATTAATGTGTATACATGAGTCGTAGAAACTTGGAGACCATCTCATTCACTCTTCTAAGTTTTTAGATGAGGAATCTCAGGCCTAGGAAGAGGAAATGATTTTTCTTGGTGTTCTCTAACTGCATTGGGGCATGTCTCTGATAAAGGTCCTCCTCCAGTAGAACTTACCTTTTTTTGTTTATGTAAATGTATTACAAATGAGAGTAAGATGAGGTAGCACAACTTCATTACAGTATCTTTGTATATATATCAAAGCAAAATATGTACCGAAAGGAATTGTATTTTACCTACACATTAAAATGAATGCTTCTGATTGATCTATTCCATCAGTACTCAACAAAGTACTACCATATAGAAGAAATAGAAATAATTTGTTCTTTTTCCCTTTTTGTTCTTTTGGGGAAGGCTTTGTCCCTTTTCTCTTATTTGTCATAGACATATATAGTAGCTTTACATATAATTAAATAAAGGAATTAAACTCAGAATGTTCATCTCTTCATATTTTCATTCAAGGAATGGAGGTAACTTCTGACTTCTGTCAGCTACTTATATGTTCATTTATTAAGGTAATTATTTGAGTACCTACTGAATATAAGAATTTGATTGTAATTGCCATGGTGGATATGAGATATATGCATACTTATAACTATAATACAAAGCTGTGTAGGAAGTGCCAAATGAGTAGACAGACAGTGAATACAGATGTTCCGGTAGTTCTTTTATTAGAAACAAGGCCGGAAGTAGAAATAATCCTTAAATATATTCCTAGATGCCAGAAAGTTTTAATACAGACCTTAGCATCTGTCATACCTACTTACATAAAGTAGGTGATGAACACATGCCTCATGAATTGAACTAAAGTTAAATATACCAGGAAAAACTGCAATGAGGGTTGAGAAGAGGGGAGATAAGACAGGCAGAAATTGAGTTACACCCAGGGAGAATGAAGAAGAGGGGTTGTCAGTGGTTAGAGAAAAGACAAAGCAGCATGGAGGGACAGACTCGTGTCAACAGGCAAAGCAGTGGTAAGTTCGATCAGGTCCCAGATAATGTAGCAAACTAGTCTCGAAGAGACACAGGTACGAACATCCTCAGACTGCAGGGACCAGGGGTTCCAGCATGAGCGGCCACCTAGAGAACAAGATCGTGGGTAAGAAAGTCTCTCTAGCGTCTCATTTCTAAACTACTTTGAAATCAGACAGTTTTCTCAGGCTTTCTTTTAGGGCTTTCAGTTGAGGGTGCTTGATGAAATTTTAGGGTTTGACTGTCCCCACCCAACCCTAGTATCTTTCCACCTGCTTACAGACAATTAGAATTCTAAGTAGAAACCCAAAAAATAGGTGGGGGGAGGATGTGTTACATTTAGGTAAGGATTTGTAATACCACTATGATATAAACCTCAGTTTAAATGTAATCAGCCAGTAAATATGTGCAAGTGATAGGATTATCAACTTTTTCCTAGATTTGTCGGGTTTTATTCCTGGCTGTTTTCAAGTAAGGAGAGAAGGCTTGGAGAACGTGAGGAAAAGGAAAGGTGGTTGATAGAAAGGGGCCAAAATTTATATACTTCATACCCTTGACCTGGGCAACAAAAATTACGAATTAAGATATTTAGTCAATCAAGTGTAAAAATAGTTTGGGGTCCATAAAATTCTTGTCTTATGTCTGTTTTGTTTTGTCATTGTAAATGAGGCAAGTTCCCTGGGAATTTAACTGAGGTACTGCAGAAACATTAGTTCCATTCCCTGTTATCAATATTGGTACAGTGTGTCATGTTTTTCCTAATGTGGTACGAGGAAACAAGAGGTACGAAATACAGAATCTACTGCATTTGAAAGATTAGCCTATATAAATGGAATATTTAAAAACCTATAAAAATGTCCAATAGAAATTGGTTTGACAATTTGTCAAAAAGGGGACAAATATTTTATAATCTAAAATACTTAATACATAACCATCAGAGTTGCATTTGATGAAGATTGTGTCATGATTACATGAAGGATCCGCTGAAATGGTTGTATGTTTGGAGACTACTAGATGTATAGGCTCAGTTTTCTTTTCTTTTCAAAATTTTATTTTTTTGGCCTAGCATCTTGTTTGGGAAATACAAGAGGGCTTGTGAGTCTGGCTTGAAATCCAAAAAAGCCTGATATTTTCCTTACTTCTCATAATACACAGGCATATGACCTAAGGTGGGTTAATTGAACGTGAATAGGGAATAGTGTTTTGGGAAGGAGTAAGAGATTAGAATTAGTGCCGGTGGCCTTCCTATGCCCCACTGTGTTGCCATCCAAATGTCCAGGAGTGTTGGCCCTGTAACTAGGTTGTACCTTTGGCCGTGGATCCAGCCATCTCCTTTCCCTAGGTTTCCAAGCTTATCTGGTAATCATCCAGAAATTTTTTTTTTTTTTTTTTTTTTTACTACTTAAGGACATCAAAAAACAGTTTCAGTTTTTGCCTGGTAACAATCACTCTTTAGAGTTGTAGGAAAACTGTTATCAGCCTAAGGATGCTACGAGGCTGATCTTTGAGAACTGCAGTTTTTGTTTGTTTGTTTGAAGTAGGGGCTCGAACTCACAACCACAAGATCAAGACCTGAGCTGAGGTCCCATGCTTAACTGACTGAGCCACCCAGGTACCCCTGAGCACTGTAGTTTTCTAAGAGACAAAAGCGGTTACTGACTAAGCTCCAAGAGGGCAGAGACCACGTCTGAATTGATTACCATTGTATACCCAGCTCCTAGCTCAGTGCCCCAGCAAACATGTTCAGTAAATATTTTGATTTTGACTTGAATGAATAAAATAGTAATACTTATTTATAGGCCTCCCCAATATCTTTTAGATTTTTGGATGTGACTGCTTTTAGTGTGGGTTTTCCTTAGGAAGAAAGAGAATTTAAAAACTGACACTAAGGTTTTAAATTCTGGTGAACGGGAGGCTGTTTCTTCATTAGCAGAAACGAGAAGTCCAGGGGAAAGAGTGGAGGTTTCTGCTATGGCTTTTACGTTCTCATAACTATGGGTTAAATAAGTTGTTACTCACTAGATAGCTTCGTATTTTGAAAAACATGATAGTCCCTCCTACTAGACTTTGGTACAGCAAAAACAACTTAACCTAACAACTTCAGACTGTCACTTGAACCTGTATGAAGAATGTTCTTTAGTTTTTTTAATGGTTTTGCATATGTGATTTATTTAAACTTTCAAAACAATTAGCAAACTTGTTATTGCCCTGCTTTTGTCATTTGTGACTCTGGGAGAAGCAAGGAAGTCATTTCTCAGTGTTCTGAATATATAAAAGACTGAAATGCTATTTTTCATAAAGACTGAAGAAACTGTCATTGTAAGATCCAGTTATGGAGAAAATTGGCCAAACTCCAGCTATCTCTTCTTGCAATTAGAAGATCTTAAACTGCTGCAAGTGGTGAATGTGACAAAAACCTTATCAGAAACCTTGCGACAGATGAAGATGGAATGACAAATTTGACTATTCAACTATGGGATTCTGAAGGTAGGCAAGACTCAAGAAATAACCTTAAAGTGCTTAAAGAAGAAAAGATTGTCTTTTCAAGGTGTCAATGCATATTGATTCAAATGTCCTAAATGCTTATTCTACTGATGTGCATTTGGTTGCAATATTGAATTGCAGTGTGAAAGAGACCTTTGCCAGTAATTCTTGGGGGCAGTTACACAATTTTTTTCTTATGCCATTTTATGGATTTCTTTTGACACAGCTTTTGGCATCACAGGAGGCACAACATAGGCTTTTGGATTTGTAATGACCTGCACATGCCCAGGAGGAGTGAGGTCTATTTCTTTGTTCTGCTTCTAGAAAGAGATATCATTTGGTCATTTAGGTAACTTGCACGTTAGTGTTATTGGCCTTGATATTGATGTTTGCCAATTTTTTTTTTTTTTAAGATTTTTATTTGACAGAGAATACAAGCAGGGGGAAGTGGCAGAGGCAGAGGGAGAAGGAGAAGCAGGCTCCCCGCTGAGCAGGGAACCCAAAATGGGGTTCAATCCCAGACCCTGAGATCATGACTCAAGCTGAAGGCAAACGCTTAACCGACTGAGCCACCCAGGTGCCCCGATGTTTGCCAGTTCTTATATATACAGTAGAATGTTAGGGTTATCATTTCATTTCACATTTCATATTCCTGTTTCTAAAACTATATATACCTTTTTATACTTATCATTTGATACCTGAAAAAGCAAACTACTCGGAGAGAATAATTAGAACTCTGAGTTTTAATGTCTGTAGGGATTTATTTGACTTTCAGAGTGTTTCTAAAAATAGTTAACCTAGAGATGCCTTTATTGGGTGTCTTAGTTCCTGCTCTGGGTTTGTTGTTTGGGTACTCCTTTGCTAACATTTCTGTGCTGCCTCTTTCTGTTTGTAAAGTTGCTACCAAAAATGGGATGCTAGTTTCTTAGCCCTTGCCATTATTCAGCTCTTTTTCAAGGTCCAAGACCGACTTAGCTTCTGTGGCTCCTTTTACAGTGGTCATGTGTTTTGGTTGTGAAATGTTACTGTTCCTTTCTGTTCTACAAGGCTAAGAAAAGATGTATCCTTATCATAGAAGATAAAAGGAGAAAGAAATCCCTAACAATTAAAGCACTCCTGAATTCCTACTCTGAATGAGGTACTGTGGGAGATTTCAAAGAATATCTAAAATGATGCCTGTTTTCAATATACTTATGATCTGATTGAAAACCTGATACTCGGGGAGTGCTAAAACACCCCATGAGTAGTACAGACAGTTAAATGTGCAGACATTCAGAGGAAGGAAATCACTTTTCAACTGTGTTGGTTTGGAAATGTTTTATAGAGTTGAATTTAAATATGACACTTTATTATGGTTTCATAAACAAGAAAGAGCAATAAATAATCCTTTAGTGACTGTGATATATCCCAAGTATTTATGGAAGGGCTCTCCATGTAATAGGCAGTCAGTAAATGCTCACACAGTGAATGAATATGTAAATTCCTACTTGGATCTCTCATTGGCTCATCAGAATGTCTTTTTTTTTTTTTTTTTGGTCTTAAATGTAGCCTCTGCTCTCATAACTTGTCTTGCACATGTGTCACTAAAGACATTACCATTTATACTGAAACACAGGGTCATCTTTTCCCCCTTTTCTCCTTTCTTCCTTCATTCTCTTCTTTATAGTCCAGTTATTTCCTACAGAAAATTTCCTATAATAGCTTTTCATCAATCTCCTCTTCATTTCCAGTAATGCCACTTTTTTCTGCCCTGTATCATTGCTTCCCTAAACCTTTAACTGGCTTTTGTCCCCTCTGTCCATTCTCCAATCACTGTCAGATTAATCTTCCTAAAATCTAACTTTGATTATGTATCTTCCCTGCTACAAGCTTTTTAGCCTTTTGAATAAAGTCTGTATTCCTTAGCGAGCCATTTCTTTATTACTCTCTGACTTCATTCTCACTTTCCAGTTGTATCTCCACTCCCACTTCTTTACACACAGCCCTTGCTCCATTCAAGCCAGATGACTTGGTATATTCATATTCATGAGTGAATATGCCTTTGTTCACACTGTTCCTACAACCTGAGGGGCGGACCTCATCTAAATTCTGACTACTTCTGCAGGCCTGGCTCAAGTGTCAGCCTTGCCATGAAGCTTTTGCTAATCCCACTTAGCAACTTGTAAGTGAAATTTTCTCTAAATTCTCAATTTTTTTATATTTCATATTTAGCCAGCTTGGCTTGTTTTACAACTATGTGTGTTCCTGTCATATTCTGTTTTGCTCTAAATCCTTGAACATGAGAACTACAATTATAATATATAAACAATATATTAGTATAAACAATATTCATTTTGATACTCCCCATGTCTAGCACATTTCCTACATGCTTACTCAAAGGGCTAAAGCACTAACTTAGGCCCCAAAGGAATAGTGTGCTTGTTTTATACCACTTTTGAATGATCAGTGGCAATTTTAGTATCTAGTTTGAGTTTGCACTCTTCTCCAAAGATAGTATGGGCATCAGTAATGAGAAATATCTCTCTAATTCTGCTTCTGACATTTTCTTACCCTGTAGTTGTAGGCAAATGAATCTTCCTATAGTCCAGTTTCCCTGTCTAAAAAAATGGAGGTAATGTGAACTCTGTCACATTGTTGTGGGAATTGTCAACCAAGAAAAGTAGGCGGAAAATGAATAAGAAAGGCCTTTTATTTGGGGTCTCTGAATTGTAATTCAGAGAGCACAGATTGTGTTAGCAACTGGAAAAGTGTCCCACTCATGTGGGGAAGACAAGAGGTTATTCTGAGAAAGAATTGGGGTAATAACATTATTTTGATAGAGAAAAATAAAACCCTTTTAGTTGAGCTGCTTTTGATTACTCTGACTTTAATTGGTGCTATCAAACAAAACTAATCTTAGTATGTTTTAGTTAACTATTCTGTCTTCATAAAGCTCATACCAACAGTTTTATGGTCCTAATGCCAGTTGTTCTGTTTAGCAACTCATTGTAAAAAAAAAAGCTGCCACTTTTGGCCCAGTTCAAGAATTCACTAGTTAGAAAGGAAAATGAAGCTTCAAAATGGAGTCTCTCATGTTCAGAATTCCACAGAATTAAATGAGATCATACTTCAGTGTACTTACTTAGAACAGTCCCTGGCACATAGTCCATACTGAGTGTTAGCTGCTGCTATTTTATCGTAGGTTAAACTTTTGACCCTGAAATATCTATTGAAGTATGAATCTGGTAACTCCGTATGGAGCCTAAGACTTTGAACATTTTCCTCTTAGTGATATTCACTGTCTTACCCATAGTATTAGGGAATTTTTAATTTGCCAGCTAATAGGACAACCAGAGTTTTTTTTTTTTTTTCCTAATTTCACCAAACCCAGTATATGAATGTCAAGATTTATAAAAGACCTGGTCGGCATGGTGGTAGATGGTTGTTATTCACTTTATAAAATAATTGCCTACATGGAATATTTTACTGACTCCTTTAAACAGAAATCTCCACTTAAGAGTTTATAGTTAAGCTTATACAAATGTAACTAACATACATTTTCATGAACATACTTTATTTTTTAAGATTTTATTTATTTGAAAGAGAGTCAGATAGCGAGAGAGAGCACAAGTGGGGAGGAGAGGGAGAAGCAGGCTCCCCGCTGAGGAAGGACCCCCCCCAACGCGGGGCTCAATCCCAGGACCCTGGGATCATGACCTGAGCTGAAGGCAGACGCTGAACAACAGAACCACCCAGGTGCCCCTGAACGTTATTGATTAGGAGACAAATTGCCTTTCTAGTTACATTTTATCATTAACCTTGTGACTTCGAATAAGACCTTTCTCTGCATTTCATTTTTCAAATCTGTAAAATGAGGATACTCAACTGAGGTTTAAGATCTTGCTCATTCTTTAAGTGTGTGGTTCTGGCATAAAACGCTAGAACCTAACATCATAGGCAGTGTGATGGGACAAAGTGAAGAAGGTTCAGGTTGATGGGGAATAATAGCCCACAGCTGCAACAAAAAAAAAAAATAAGGGCTTCTTGAGAGGAGGGACCAAATACTATTTTTAATTCCCTACAGTGTTTACCTCAGTGCCTTGAATAAAGTTGGTTCTTACTAAACACTGGATTAATCACCAATATCTGTAAAGGTCAAGATCATATACTCTAGAACCAGATAATGCTTGGGTCTGCACTTCTAGTTCTGTCACCAGCTGGGGTACATTGGTCAAGTTACCTAACCTCTCTAGGCCTAAATTGATATGGAAAGTGGGGATCATGATAGTATGATGATAGTTGTGAAGGTTAAATGAGCTTAATATTAAGGCCCTCAGAGCAATGCTGAACACATAGTAAACTCTGTTCTTACTCTATACATATTTGGATGATCTGTAACCTTAAGAGCAGCTGAATGTGCACGATGGAAGTAGGAATATATTTTCTCTTATAGATGTATCATGGAAGACGGATTTTTACATGGTAAAATTTGTCTAATTTGGTTGGGGATGAAGTTACTCATTATGTTTTGTTTTGTTTTAAATATTTTATTTGACAGAGATAGTGAGAGATGGAACACAAGCAGGGGGAGTGGGAGAGGGAGAAGCAGGCTTCCCGCTAAGCAGAGGGTCCGATGCGAGGCTTGATCCCAGGACCCTGGGATCATGACCTGAGCCGAAGGCAGATGCTTAACGACGGAGCCACCCAGGCGCCTCTCAAGTTATTGTTTTTTTAAGAATGAGGCATAAAGCATGTTGTCTGATTGCTTGAGTTCACACCAATCATTTTATATAGCCAGGATTGGTTAGACAAGAGGTATAGACACTTTTTAATGGTTTCTTTCCAACCCTCAAGAGGGGTTTGATACAGGGCACCTGGGTGGCTCAGTTGGTTAAGCAACTGCCTTCGGCTCAGGTCATGATCCTGGAGTCCCGGGATCGAGTCCCACATCGGGCTCCCTGCTCGGCAGGGAGTCTGCTTCTCCCTCTGACCCTCTTCCCTCTCGTGTTCTCTATCTCTCGTTCTCTCTCTCTCAAATCTTTAAAAAAAGAAGGGGGGGTTGATACATTGTTCCAAGAATAAAAATTCTATCTGCAATTCTAATCTGTTATGTCAAAACATGAAATCTTGTTAGGTATCCTGGAGACTCCATTCCTGAGGACCCGCACATTGTGTTAAATTTTTATTTTAAAATCAAAGTCCACTAAAAAAGTCTTGGTATGTGGAATTTTTTTTTCCAGTGAAAAGAGTTGCCATCTAAAAGAAATCAGCTCCAGACATTTAAGTAAACAAGATACCCAAGATTCCTGGGAAAGGAATCACCACGGTGGTCCCTCTTTATTCAAATACAGGACAATTGGGCACTTATTGCTCTTGCAGATATGTGACCTAAGCACTTTGTGGCTTGATAAGGGACCTTCCCCCAAACCAGCCCCTCTTTGTATAGTCAGGTGTCTGGGAAAGTATCAAGGGCATTGGATCTCACCTCTTTTCCTATTTTGAAGTTTAGCATAATTAGAACCTTTCTCACGGATGGAAGTCAGCTGGTAGGAAAGGATATCTCAGACTCAGAAGAGGAGTGTTCCTTTAGGGAAGTCTGGAATGGTGACCTGGATGCCACATCAGGAAGCAGATTTTGTCCTGGCATGGTATGTGGCTGATGCTGGAATCTGACCCCTCCCTAACCCCTAATCACCTTGGAACAACAGATAATCTTTGGTACTGGGAACAATGGCTGTAGATATGATGTAGCTTTAAAAATTGTCCCTTTGGGAAGCCAAGAGCAATATACCAGGTACCGAGACCTCTGCAGCCCTCTAAACTCACAGCACTGAATAAAAATATTTTGGATTGTGTGGGACCAGTTTGCAACACTGCCAAAACCGGATCTTTGCGCTAGACTTTCCTGTACACTACAGGATTTCTCATTTCATTTTCAGGCATTTGGAAGTCCAACAGTCTCTTTGGACTGCAAACCCTCCAGTTACTTGAGAACAATTGTGAGGTAGCAGCTGAGGCCCATGGAAAAAGGACTTCCTGCTCATTTGAGGTGGGAAGTGTTAAGTGATTTTAATTTGAATAAGGAATAAGATTTGATCTTCTGATTTAACATTGCTTATGTTGATTTTAGTCATAGCAGCTTTGCCAAAGTAGTGGGA